TATCAGATGCTAACTCTGCAATCGCTTCTGACAATACGGTATCTAGCCCATGACAATCCTGCGAGACATTTATGATCAACACCGAACAAATGACCAAGATTTTTGAAGATGCTTTGGCTATACAGAAGGAGAACTTCAAGTTCGAAATGAAAATGACTATGCTGCAGATGAAGGAAGAACATGACCGACAGATCCAAACTTTGTTAGGTCAAATCGGTGAATCTAGTCGTCACAACAATGCCTATCGGGCAGGTGGTGATTCAGACATGGACGAACACCTAGATGCAGATAACCCTCTCGTTGATCAAAACGTTTGGGGTGTCCCCATTAAAAATAACGACGCTGGGGGTGGTCCCACTGATGATGACAATGTTGGGGGTGGTCGCGATGTTCCTTCTCGAAATCGATCAAGGAAGGATACGAGCGAGGATGAGAAGATGAAAGACCTCAAGGGCAAAATCAATGCCTTGATGTCCATTCGGAAGGGGAAAAAGACCGGCATTTCATGTCACTATCCAAAAGAGTGGGAGTCGATCTCGTATCCGGTGAAGCTCATCCAGATCAACTTCACGTCATTCGACGGGAAGAGTTCTCCCACTCAACACTTGATTTATTTTAAGTTCCACTTGGAAGTAATCTCTGGCAATGAGCTTTTGATGGTCTGATCATTCGTTGGCATCCTTCGCGGGCCCGCCTTTGATTGGTATCGCGGTCTTAAGCCCGGAAGCATCAACAGCTGGGACGATATGGAAGGCTTATTCCTTGGTAATTTCTTTGATAATGACACTGAAGTATCAATTGGAGCTTTTTTGGACGAGAAGCATGAAGACGGAGAGTCAGTTGATATCTTCGTTAAACGCTTCCGAAACAAAGCGATGAACTGTCGAGATCCGGTCACAGAAGAATTCATACTCCAGACCTGTCATCACAATCTCTCCCTCGATGTCCTCAAAGTCATGGGAGTTGTCCCCTCAACCACCTGGAAAGAATTAAAACTGCGTGGAGAACAGGTCGAACGTTTCCTCAAAAGAAAGAAACTTGAGAGAGGCCAGTCGACGGTTAACACACCTGAAGTTGTTGTTGATGCAAATCAAACGTCACAACGGCAACCTCGAAAACAACGAAGGACCCAGATCTGAGACTCCAGAAAGAGTACTCCTTCTAGGATGAGAAAGTTCCAACTATCTTCAAGTATCTCCTCGCCAATGGCAAAATTAAGCTATCACCTATTAAAAATCAAGAGGGAGCTAAGAGGATTACGGATCCAAACTACTGTGCGTACCATAGGAGGGTTTTTCATCCTACTAAAGTTTGTTTTGGTCTTAAAAATAAAATCCAAGCTTTAATCGACTCCGGCGTCATAACGGCAGAACAAGCCAAATGAGAACAGAAAACACTCTGAAGAGTATATGAGTATAAATTGCTTCTCCTTTGTACTCCAACAAGGTATATGAGTATAAACTGTTTCCCAAACCTCCAACTGGTACACGAGGCTAAACTGTTCCTTAACCTTGATGGGAAGTTCTTAGAGAATACTACACATGGTATTCTTAAAGATTACCCAAAACCAAAAATAATCAAGAACCTCCCATTGTGGCTATTTAATTATTTTCAGGATGATTAAAACCCTCCCACTGTGATTTCTCAAGCACTCTTTCGTTGAGATGAGATTCAATGACTTCATCCGGTCAATCTTTCCCCACAAGACCCTACGGTCTAATTGTGGAGTGTTTGATCCCTCACTGATTAAATCAATTGACGGTGGGGTCCACTAAAGCTCTTTCTGTTTGATTCACTCAAGTTCCTGCTGTGTCTGTGCACTCAACACTTCTATTGTTAGAGTCCGGACATAATACTAGGGCCAATGATGGAACTTGGGTATAAGGTCTAACGATATTGTGGCTAAGTTGGGTAGACGGATCGCAGTGCACAATTAGAATGTCCTGTGACGATGGATGAATACATCTCTTTGACATATAACTCCAAACTTTGGGGAGTCTGTGTCATGCCAACAAACTTATGACCTTTACCATTTTAGGCCCTGTTGCATTGGTAACGAAGTTAAGTTACCTTACCCAACTCCAAACCCGACTGGGGTTCATTTGGTTAAAGATAGCTTTAGGAAACAACTTTAGTTAACTTTACCTCCAAAAAGAAGAAAAGGTATCAAAAAAACAGATCCGGCAAAAATCATCTTGTACCTCAATTCTTCTCAAAGCCAAATACATGATAACTTGGGGGTTAGAAAATTCTAGGTAGAATTAGAGCCTAAGCAAATCAGAGTTTGTATAACCTATACCTCCAAATATAAGATACTTCAGTTATCTAAACTCCATTTTGAGCCGGACAATTTTTTAAAAATATTCAGGAAATAGATAATAATGATTTTGGTTGCTTATCGAAAAACATCATTAGAAATTTGAATTTGAGAGAAGTTTTTAGGGAGCGTTAACAAGTGAATTGAGGATTAACTGTAAGTATAACCCTGCCTAAACACAGATTGCACGAATATGCAGGTTTATAGTTCTTTTATTTCACCTTGTGCGACATTTTCCTGGTTTTACTGAAATTCAATTTTAATCTATCAGAGATTGATAAACAGTGATTCAATGAAAATTATTGTAACAGTCCTTTAGTAATATTATGCTAATTGAAAGTTTGTGAGACCCATGATGATACATTGGATAAATGTATGTGTCACATGTACAAGCTCACCATTCACATTATATAGGATTTTAATATTTTTTTACACTTGCAATCCTGCAGAACGTCCAGGTCAGGTTTTTCATCTACTATCAAACTCTTATTACTGTTGCTACCTTAATCCAGTGATTTGTGTCAATCTATGCTGAATCTATGCTGCCTAGGTACTTCTATCTGAAGTTA